AAATTTGATACAGTTCAGTGGGCTTTTTTAAATCTTTTTTTTTCCACATTCAATCCCAGAACCAAATGAAAAGGGTTATGAAAAGTTTGAAGTATTTCAATAATTGGAAAATAGTCTCCCTAATGGTGAGTGGTTTGAATTTTCCTGGAGCATTTTTGTACTTTTATTTTTGTAAGAACTGGGTTCTGGAAACCAGTCAAGTAGTACATGCATATAAGAATCCAAGATATATTGAAACAATTTTAAAGCCTGTGTTCTATAAATGTAGGGCTTAAAAGAATGTGTAAAATGGGAGTGGTTGTAAGAAATGTTTTAAGAGATTTAAATTTAAAAAAAAAACACCAAAAAACAGAACCCCCAGTATGACTGGCAGAGAAAAAATAGTACATTAAGAAACATTGCAAAATAATAGGACAATCCTAAGAAAAAGACACTACACTTGCAAAATAACTTTGAAAGCTCACAGTAGTGTATTACAAATATTAAATAAGTCTTGCCATGTCCCAGAAGAGTTATCAGATGCACTAGCATGCCTCTTGCAGTGGCTGTACTTAAGGGAGAACTGCTCAGAGAAATTGCCCAGTGAGTGCCACATGGGTTACATGAAGGGTGACCTCTGCCTGTGTCTGTGTCTGGGTCTGCAGTGGAAACCCAGAGATGTCCCTGGCTCCCAGAGCTATGATGCAGGGCAGTCAGCTACTTCATTTCTCTGCTCCTTCAGCAAGATGGTTCCAGGACCACAGCTGAAATAAAGCTGCCTCTGCATCTCTTCAGCCCAGCCCAGCACTATTGGAGCAGATTTTAAAAGCAAAACCCAGCTTGCTGTTGCTTGGATCTCATTAATTCATGCTGTGGTGTTCAGCCTGTGGGCAACCTGGGGGTATAGTGTGTGTGCCCCCCAGCATCCTTCCAGCTGCCCCTTCCTTCTCCAGGATTTGGGGAGAGGTGATGGGAGTACTCTGACTTCCCTCCTTGCTGAAAGGTTTTGTGCTTGGGTGAGAGAGGGGAGAGGAGTAATGCTGACTTGAGACAAGGGTGGGCTGTGTCAGGTGTTCACCTTTCCCTCCTCCAAAGGTGCAGCTGTCCTGTGCATGTAACTGAGCCTCAGACAAAGCAGAGCAAGCTCTGGGTGTGCTGTGGGTGTGCAGTGGGTCTGGCAGAGCTGGGCAAAGGCTGAGCCATGGTCCCTTTGTGGCACTGAAATGTGTGTGTGCCTACCCAGACACTGCCATGTTCTGGGGGTCACAGGGATGATTCAGGGAAAGCAGGAAGAGTACTTTTGTGGGAGAAGTTAAACTACAGTTTTCTGCAGGTAACCTGTCTTACATTTTCCTATTGCTAAAAACAGGAAAGTGTGCTTTTTGTAACCTGTGGATATACTGTAGAAGCTGTCCTGGGTCTGTTCTGTTTCACACCCTGAAATATGCTTCTTCATTACCTCTGCCAAGAAACTGTTCCTGCATCTGGACAAATAAACTTTGGTTTTGCTCAGCATCTCATTATCTATGCCAGAATTTCTTACACACTGTTATTGCCCTCATTTAGTAACATGTATAGAGATGCCAAGTGATTTCTGCAGTGTGAATGTGCTTTCCCCAGTATGAATTAATACACTGATTCAAGTGGCATTAAATGGAAGGAGGTTTTGAACAGCTGGATGCGTTTGAAAATAACTGTGAGAAAAACAATTTTGTACAAATTGCTCAGAGGATCTCGCTGGTGATTAAGGGAAGACTTTCCATGGCACAGTGGGTTCCAGAGGCTGAGCCTGGGACAGGGGCTGTACAGGTACCACTCTACAGGTGTCCCAAATGGGCTGCTGCTGTTACAGGTTTGTGTGTGAGTGGTGGCCTTGCCCAACTCCACAGCTTAGCTCTGTTCCAGGAGCCACTATGTCTCCTTTGTCCTTTTTGTACTGATCAGGGTCCAGAAGTATTGCTCAATCTCTTAGTTCCAATGATGCAAGAGAAATGGGGTGAATGCTCTTGAATGCTTAACTTTTATCCACTAATCATTAGTCCCAGCTTTAGAAGAATTTGCAAAGGAGTTACAGATCTTGCCATATCTCAAAAAGACAGCAGTTGTTCTTCCGCCCAAGCAGAGAGTAAGTCAGAAATCATACTTTTACCTTGCAGGTATAAACCATGCTGTTAGTGCTTGGGAAGGGTTCCAGAGCAAAAGTCAGGCACTGTAGCTGATTGCTTCAGCCAGCATCTGGCTGCCCTGCACAGAGGGAGGACAGGAGGTCTCAAAGGCACCCCAAACCCATGTCAGATATTGCAGATTGTAACCACTATGAAATCCATCTGGGCATTGAGTCCATGCTAAAATTAATAATCTTTTTGGTACTAGTTACAGGAATTGCTTGGTCAAAATCAGTCAATGACATTTTATTGCCTGTAGTTGGAGTAGCAAAGTGTTTCTCTTCCTTTGCAAGCTGGTGCTCTTAATATTGAAATAACTTTTTTTGTGGTTTCCTGTGTTGACTGCTTACGTGGATTGACTGTGTGTGGGTTGGGGGAGGCTGTGTTACTGTGAGGTTTTGACAGAAATTCCTTGTGCTCAGAGAGCAGCAGCATGAGGGCAGAGTGTGAGTGGGGTTTTCTTCCTGTTGGATGACAGCAGGTTTTCCACTGCTTCTTAACCATGTTAGATTGCCCTCAACTTTTTGTAAAAAATAGGACTAGGATAACATTATGTTCTGTATTGGCTACTCCATGACTGGAGTACTGAAGCCAGTTTTAAATATGATATGGAAGTTGCCAGGAATAGAAACCTCTCCTAGGAAATGACTGCCACTTCTTGTCAGGGTCTATCCAGCAAAGGCCCTGTGAGTTTTTGTTTCACAATAGCATAATTTGGAACCACCACAGCTCATACTTGAGCATTCAGAAACTGTTTGCCTAGAAATGTATGTATGTAAGTAACTAGGGGAGTTTTAGGGGACAGTCCCTCTACAACTGCCAGATATAGTGAGAAATGTCAATGTGAAAATGAGTTGGTTTTTCAGCTGCAATGAGATATGTGCTCCTTTCCAAGAACTGGATTATTGTAGTTCAGAAATGTCAGTTTTGAACTACTCATAGTTGGAAAAGGACACAGCTATCTAACAATCCACTGAAAATAACATTGCTCCATTAGCTGGCTTCCTCTTTAGCACTGTTGTGATGTAAGTCAGTGATTTTAGCTTTAATTATATATCCTGTCATGTTTTTATATTGGAGAGAGGGAGTAGCTGTCCATGCCACACCACCCTCACTAAATCCAGTACATCCTGTTTTATTTTTAAAAACTTTTCAAGGTGAGGTCACTCTTTCTAAAGCTACTCTCAGGTTCTGAGAGCTACAGCCTTAGATGCTGACCTGTCTGACAGGTCTCACTTAGGGAGGAATTCCATCTTTCATGAAAATGCAACTCTACTGACCTGCACAGGAGCTCTGACCCCATCCTCTGCTCCAGCTGTCCCCATGAGTGGTGCAGTAGCTGCTCTGCAATTCTTCTGTTCTGTTCTGGGACCTGTTGAGTAGAAAGCCTGCTGAGAGCCAGGAAGCAACAGTTCAGACTGTTGTGAATGCTGACATTTTGTTTTCTCTGGTCCAATGTGGAAGAAAACTGACTGGGAGCTGCAGGGAAGGACCTCTAATATTGCATGAATCCTTTTACCTTGTGGAGAGGAACATTGGCCGGCTGGTGGGGAGCTTTCTGCTTGTGAGCAGGTGATGGCTCTCTCTTGTAAAGACTGAGCTGCTGAGAGCTGTGGTGGTTGCAAAGCACCATTGGCCCAGCTTCACCAGGAGCCATGCTCTGCCTCTCACACTGAGCACTTCTTCCACATGAATTGTTTCATGGAAGCTGAGGGGCTCTGTGGAACTGAATTCTGCACAAAAAACTTGGGTTCAGTAATTAAGTCTCAAACTTTGTCCTGAAAAAATCTTTCAGTGATAAATAACAAAGAGGAAGATTATTTTATTTTCCACAAAATACTGGCTGCTTGGCTGGCAGTATTGTAGGATGTGATCCAAACCCATTGAATGGCAGTGGCTCTTATTCTGTTCACTTCAGTGGAGCTGACCTACAGGGTGCTCTGTTATGGCTCATCCTTATTAGTGAAGTTTAGTCCAGCTGTCCTAGGGGTGAGCTTAGGATGGCTCTGCTCTATTGTACAGGCACAAAGGAGCTGTCTGGGCAGTGGAGAGCTTGTGCTCTGAACAGAGACATCAACAGAGCATCCAAGCATCACACATTTCTGCTGATTGGGAATGGGCAACAGGAGAGAGGGAGAGCAAAATGAAAAGCTTGGAGCCTGGTATGGAGTAAAAGAGATGGCAAAAGAGGACGTCCACCCGGGCTGATAATCCCCTGTGAAGGCATGTTTGTGGTTTGTCTTGGATGTTGCTGGCCAGTTCCCATTGCCTGCGTATCCCAGACTCACTGCATGTGCATTCAGGTAAGCCTGAATGGTCTCAGCACAAGAAGTTAACTGAGAGTCTAAGCATCTGATCCTGTTCTCAGCAGCTTTACACCTCTACAACAGCAGTTTATACACCTCTAAGTTAAGCATGTGCCAAAGTACTTCATTACTGTGGTGTCAGGTGCTCAGTACATGAGCCTGGAAGGGCATTGGGAGAGTTTTACACTGACATGGCTCTGGAAGGAAAAATAAGGTGTTTGTGTTTGGTGCAGCTAATCTGGAATACACACAAACACCAAATTAATCTCATTTAAAAGCTTTGAATTAAGTCTGTTTACTGTAAAGGATCCTCCCACAGTTCTCCACCTTCTTTTTGTTTCCTGGTGTATTTTCATTTGGGAAAGCAGCAGTGTGGATATGTTCTCTGTGCTCAACTGAACAGCGATCCTGCTGCAGCTTTTGGTATTGCTGTTCAAAAAGGAAAGCCACAACATCGTTAGCTTTTCTCCCTTTTTCCTTTGGATTACCTTTCATTCCTGCTCAGGTCTTACCCAAAACCTGCTTATCTCCCTGTTTCCTGTCCTTTCAGCTTCCTCAAATGCGATGACTCAGCAGCTCCAGGATGAATTTGACAGCAGTGTGGAGAATGCAGAAGCTTGGATGAAGGCCATCCAAGAGAGACTGAGGATCAATGACAACACCAAAGGACCTCGATCTGCCCTGGAAGCCAGACTGAGAGAGACTGAGGTAAGGGGAGGCAATGGGATTCAGAGGTGGCTCTCACTCAGGAGTTTTCCATCAGGATATTGTCACTGCCCCTGTTTGTTGGAGCATTGGGCCTGTGTGGATGGGTTCACATCAGTATTCTTTTAAATTTTCTATTTGCAAATTGTTTACAGATGTAGAAAAAGAGGATGGCAATTTTCTATCACTGGCTTCCAAGCTTTTCAGATTGATTTGGAACACTAGCAGCAGGTTTGGCAGGTTCAAATGTTTACACTCTCCTCAAGCCTGGAACAATTTGGTTGCTGCTTGCAATTACCATAGTAATTTGCAGACAACCAGCATATAGTATAAAAGAATCAGATCATGTTAGTGTTCCACCCCCTCCAGGACTCTGGCACTGATAGAAAAAGATTGCAGTATCCTGGTAAAGGGCTATTTTAGAGTAATTCCTTTGTCCTTTTCCATAACCCTGATGATAACAGGGTTTACAGATCCCCTTTATGATCTGTTCAATGAAAAGGTAAAAGTTCTCTTTTTTTTTTTTTCCTGGTTTTACTTAATCTGTTTTATAACTCTTCTCAGTGAGATCCTATTGCAGATTGTGCCTGCTCTCTTACAATGATTTCACATTCATTAACTTCAGTTTCATTAGATGTTATCTAGGTCTTGTAATCTCAGAGAAGGAAACACTCCTGTTTGTCTTATTTGTACCATCGGAGGGAGTGATGATCTTTCTATGACTAACATTTAAACTATTTTTATACTTTTATTACCTGTAATTCCAAGTAATCTGTTCTTTAATTTAGATGGCAAGATATTTCCCATTGTTACTTACCCCAAAGTCTCTCCTTTTGTGTGTCTACTTATATTTGGTCTGCCTCTTCTGAAGTTTGACAAAAAATGTTGCAGGCTTACATGAGGGTAGGATGATGAGGTAGTTTAGAGTGATGTCTTCAGCCTTTTTCTTAACTGTGGTTTATTGGAGGCTGGATCTTGCCTGTGGCATAATACAGAGACTGTTCATGGAGTGATGGATGGTGGCTAGACTTGCATGTCAGTCATAAAAATCTGAAGCATTTTATCTTGGTCTATAGTTTTATTTTTCTGACCTTAAATTATTTTCACCCTTTTCTTTTGTCTGGAAAGCTATAATGTGTACAGTCTCAAGAAACACACAAGAGACACAGGAACTCGAGTAGAAGAGTGGTAGATTGGCAAAGAGGGGACATTCATGGCAGAGATAACAAGTAATAGGGTCTAGAGATTTGTAGTAATGTGATATGGCCTGAACTGTTGAAGCCTGTTTACTTCTGTGGGCTTTACAGGAGGTCTGTAACATGCAAAAAGTCATATTAAGAAATTCTTTCAACTCACACTTTGGAGGTTCATCATTCTAAAGATTGACAAGTTCTTTCTTCCTGTGTGTACCTTAACCCTGTCCTGCTCCTTCATCCTGCCTCCTTTCTGGGCCTGGCTTCTGTCTCCTGCTCAGATGTCCTCATGATGTGCTCACTGCTTCACCTATTGGCTGTGTTCAAATCCACTGTTTGGTTTTCAGTTCTTTTTTTGCACCTGGCTTGCCAGGTTTTTTTCATGCTTCCTTCCTGCGGTTTATTTTCTTTTAATTTGTTAATGAAAATGTCAGCCAATGAGAGAAGTCATGTAAAAAACAGATTTGAAAAAGAAAAATGACTGTACAGCCGCTGCTTTCTCTCCAGCTGTTGTTTGCTTCTAATTGCTGGAAGAATACAGGCTTAGAATACAGCTTTACTCTTACACTTCACCTGTTGAATGATAGCTGTGGCTTGTATTTTCTTGCTTTTCTCTGCCCTGTGTCCTGCTTCCCTGGATTCTATTAATCACACCTTTCTTAGTACATAATTTCTGCAAACAACTGTTGATACATCACAGGCAGGTGTGCTGCCTACATGTCAAAAGAACAGGCTTTGCTTTTCCAGAATGTGGGACTGGAGATCCAAAGCCCTTCTACTTGTCTCACCTTTGCAATAACTGACATGATCAAATCCCAAAGGCCTAATTTTTACCAAAAGTAATGGCTGATTTTGGGAATCTTGGTGTTTTCATTGTAAAAGCCTTTTTCTTCCAACTGGAAAGTCTGAAGTTTGCCAGGAGTTTATGGAAGAGCAGCAAGAAAAGCTATTTTGATAGTATCAGAAGTTTGGATAAAGTAATGTTGAAAGCTGACATCTGAATTGGGGGATAATTAATCTGTTAAATTGTACAGAACTTGTGCTGATTTTTCCATCTCTGGATACTTAAAATTCGATGACTCCACTTTCAGTTCCTGGCATTCCTATTTGTGTAAGATACACATTTTCACCAATTCATAAATTAGCATTTTAGGGTTGAAGCAAAGTTTGGTAACAGGCAGAAAATTCCACTGGTTAATTTCTCTTGGCTGCTTTTTTAGCCAACTTTTATTTGCACGAGGAAGCCTTTTTAATATGCTTGATGATTTCTTATAGCATGGCTTAAGATGGAGAGGTTGCAGTGTAGCCTGTGGAGGTTGCCTCTTTGTGCTTTGGCAGGTGGGGAAGAGCAGCTGGCCTGTGCTGTAACCTTATAACAGCAATGGAAACAGCCACAGGCATTTCATAGAGGATGGTCTGGTTTTGTAGCTAACTTAAAAGGTTTTCAACTGCTGTGTGGTATTCAATAAATTTAGTCCTTTAGGATGTTTAAGAATAAACATTATTTTCCTTTCAGGAGAAACTGCAGCAGGGAGTTAGGTGGGAAGGGTTAATTGTCTGTGCTGTAGAGAAACGTTTCCATCCCATGGTAGTGTGGTGTTAACAACTGGACTTGGTGATTGTGAGGGTCTTTTCCAACCTAAATGATTCTATGAGTTCATGATTCCTGGGAAAAACAAAGTTAACATTTCATTAATTATCCTTGTTTTCTTTCCATGCTTTCAGTATCATTTGTTTTTCTCACAGAAAATACGTGCCCTGGAACCAGAAGGCAGCTTGAAAATGGATTTGATTCTTGTGAAGGCGGATGCTGCTCTTCGCAGCATCAGTGAGGAGAAGAAGCGTGAGGTGCTCTCTAAACTGAAAGACATTAAAGCCCTGTGGGAAGAGACAGCCATATACATCACTCATTGTCACAGGTGAGGCAAACACGTCTTGGCTGTGTTGAGGCAGCTGTTTCCTCCAGCGCTTTCATAAAGTGCTTCCTGCCTCTCTCTGCTCCCTGGATTGTAGATAGCAATTCTCTGCTAATTCCAGTCCCATGAGCATTTTGGTGACTGTGTGCAGAGAAAGGATCAGTGAGACCTCAGTGCTCTGCCTTCACAACCTGGCTCACCCACCCCATGGTCTGCAATGATGACTTTGGACAGGACCTTGTACAGAATATTTCCTCCCCAAAGCAGAGAGGACCTGGGAAGTGAATCTAAACCCTGAGAAGTCAGAGCAAGTTAAAACTGCTGAGAACCTTGTACACTGCTTTGAAGGCCTTTTGGAATTGTTGGTCTCCACTCTCCCATCATCATTTCATCTAACTCCTCTCTCTTCCCTCCCCAACAGCCGCATTGAGTGGGTCTGGCTGCACTGGAGCGAGTACCTGAAAGCCCAGAATGAGTTTTACACATGGATTCACAACATGAGGGTCACCTTGGAGCCTGACATTGAGTTGCAGCTTGGCTTAAAGGAGAAGCAGTGGCAGCTGAGCCACGCTCAGGTTTTGCAGAATGATGTCCTAAATCAGTCAGTCCTGCTGGAAAGGCTGCTGGAGGAAGCTGCTTCGTTGTTCAGCAGGATAGGTGACCCCAGCGTGGATGAGGATGCTCAGAAGAAAATGAGAGTGGAATATGAAGGAATCAGGCAAGAAGCTCAGGTACACTTATAGAGAGTGGGAGGGGTTCAAATTCCTCCCATCTATGGTGTTGTTTGCTACTTGCTCCTTGAGTGATGGGGCTTACCTGGTAGGGCTGCAAAAGGAAGCAGAGCTGAGGACCCCTGTGCTTTCAGTCAATGGACTGTTTGAAACAATTGTCCAGTCCCAAGATGAGCTGTTGTCCTGGGGTGATGTTAATTGGGATGCTCTTACATGGTGCTTTATAGTGTGTTGCTGCAGGCTGCTTGCTGTGACCTAGTGAATATTGCTTTAGGTCATCTCTGTATAAAGTTTGAATTGTTCCTCATCTTTCAGCACATTAGTGGTTCATGTATAACCAGATGCAGAGCACCCATGCCAGGAGCCAGGGAATATTACATGGACACAGCCTTGCTGGAGGAAGTAGGGGTAGTTGAGACCCAGAGCTGCCCTCCTGCCTGCAGAACTGGGAAACACAGAGGTGGGAGTCAGCTCTGGCCTAACACTTTGCTCAGTGGCCACTATCTGAAAGATTTTCATGCACACAGATACTAATTCTTGTCCAATACTGATCTTCCAGCTTGAATAGTTGTTGGATAGGCTGGTGTAAGGCATTCTGCTTCATCTTTTAATACCAGGGATTTCCTTTCACCCTGTTTTTGCGTAGAGATTTCAGAAAATGCTTGTACTTTTCACTTCTGAAATTCAAATAAAGACAGGATTGGACCATGTGGTATGGCTAAGGGGCAGACATCTGTGAATAGGCAGAAGAATTCAATTTCTTACAATCAAATAAATTTTGATTGTAAGAAATACTTAAAGGGATATTTTATAAATATATATATATATATATATATATAGATACATCTATAGCAAACATAGAAATTAAAACCTAGTTTTTACTCATAGTGACTACCAGAATTTCATAGGCTGGAATTACCTGGTGCAAATAGTTTTCATCACACTGGTTCTGTGTCTGCCTCTGTTATAATGCTGCCTTCTATTAATTCCCACACCTACACACCAATCCAGAACTGGAGCCTGACAGTGATGGATGCTTTCCCTCCCTGAATGCCTTTGTACAAAGTTAACTTCGGATCACACTGGAGGAACAACAACATTCCATTTCACTGCTTGCCCCACAGATACATTTTCTCTTTTGAAGTAAAATCCCTCTAAAGTGACCAAAAAAACCGCTTAGTTGGCATCTTTTGTGAGCATGTAGTACAGGTACTTTTCTAGCCATGTATATACAACTACTGCTAATGTCCCTCCAAAATGCAGAGCATGTTTGGAAATTCTGTAGCTGCAGCTGCCACAGAGAAGCCACCAGCAGACTTGGGCCTCAACACTGATTATTTATTCTTAAAGGTAGATCCCTTGATTACAAGGCATCTGGATATACATCCAAGAAGGTTCCTGGAAATTCAGGTGTTGTCTGTCTAGATTGCCATTTAAAATTATCATTCACTCCCTCTTCACCAAAATTCTCTTTGGTTTTGAAGCCGGAGACAGTCATTAGTTATTTTAATAAAGCTGTTCTTTTAGACAAGTAATTTGAATACTCAAAGCCAGGATGTGACCTCTGTGAGACTGATTTTACATGGTGTGATTTCTCTAACTGACTTGGATATGTGCTGGTGTAAATGAGATCAGGAAGTAGCTCATACTAGTTGGACAAAATATGTCTTTATGTTTCCAGCCAACTGAGACATTAGAAAAAGCTTTTCTTTGGCATTGGTTATAAATACCACATTTCATAGAAGGATGGAGTGAGAGAATCCAGCTAAGAAATCCCTTTTTCAGGAGGTATGGAATAAAGAAGGGAGTTGGAAAGCCTTGGATTTCACAACTGTAGTAAATGAGGAGTTTATTATCTAATGCCAAGGTGACAGGCACCTTGGGAATTGTGTTGGAAAGTATAACACTTGTTAGGGAATCCTGCCACCTCTTCCAGTGGGCAGGAGGCATGAATGAATGGAAGAGACACAGGAGTTGTAAGGGGATTGCTCTGGCCCCTCACATGATGAGAGCCAGACTAAAAGTGACTTGCAGATGCCAGCTGAATGCCTGAGCACAGGAGGCTCGCTGGTGTTTGTAGATTACTCTGGTGCTTGAAGGGCATTTTTAGACCCTGTGCAGTTGTCCAGCTCTATCAGAAGGCAGGCTCTTGGACAGTGTTTCTTAAATGGTTTGCCTGTGATATTGCTTCTTTGGTATGAGCAAATGGTGGGAGGTAATTTTTTTTTCTTAGCGCTAACATGTGTCTTTAACATTCCCAAATTTTAAAAGCATCTCTTTTAATTACATCAATAGGAATATTTTTAGATGTGGCAGCCATTTCCTACGTGCTTTCCCTTGCCCAGTAAATTAAAAATATGCAGAGGTAAATGGTTGTATGTTTTAGCATAAATGATGATTGAAGATGGTAAGAAAAGTTATGATATGTGGGAAGTTGATATTTAGGAAATACATTAAATACTTCTGAGCACATCAGATTAATTTCTGTCCATCTTGTCTCTGTTAGCTGAAACCTAGATACTTACAATAGTTTGCAAAGGTACCCTAAGTGTAAGACCAAAAGCACCAGGAAGGGCTACAGGAGCTTTCTGTACTCTCCTTGAGACACTGCAGAGGGATTTAAAGTAGGAGCTTCCTCTATGTGCTCTAGATTACCTTCCAGAGGAGGCTTATTTGCCTTCCCTGACTGTGAAGGGAGCTTAGGGGAGGGGGCTTCCTAAGCCTCTGCCCACCTTCCTTGAGTACCCAGGGCTGGCCATGTCTCCTCACTTCAGCCTAGTCAATGTGGATGTTGAATTTCACACTGTGCTGCTCCCCAAGCTGCTAACCTAACAGGGGCAGGTGATACCTTATTTTTCATCATTGGAAAGTTTTCCTGCTTAACCTCTTGTGAGGGGAGGGTTCAGCCAACTCTTTGTAAGCCTTTTGTCTGACAACTGGCACAGTTTGTCCAGATCTATGGCATCTATTTCTTGACCTCACAGACCAACCCAAACTGCTTATTCCTTTATTTTAGCTGGCCAAGGGTAGGTTGTTTTGACTTCCTTTGAACCCCCTGTATATCAGCCTAAGATTTTTGAGTTTAATTTGTTATTCTGATTTATGCCCTTTGGAGCTTCTGCCAGTAAAATAATCTAATTCCCTGGAGTCACTAAGCTTAGCCTGGATTGCGTCACTTTGATGTGTGGCCCTTTTACACTGCTATAAGGTTGTCTTCTTCAGATCCTTGACTTGAGGTTGAAGCATGAACTGTTTAGCCTCTGCAGATTTGAGAATTGACACATGGGGATTTAGCAAGTAGGGTGTTCTGCTGGACACAGAGGTCTGCAGTCATAATTCTTTGGTTTCATCCAAACCTGTGTATGGCTGGTGCTACTAAAGGTCATGCTCTAATAAATGGGCAGCATTTCATCCTCCATGGGAAACAAGTGTCCCTTAGCTGTCCCTCTTTTGTCCCACAGCAGGTCAGCTAACTGGAGGGGAGTCACTCAGGATTTGCAAAAGTTAGCAGGGCCTGAAGTGGCAGTGTGAAAAACAGGCTGGTGGTGTTCCACTTGCAGGGTGGTGGCTTTGTAGTGCACCATGGGCATGCCCTGTCCCAAGGGTGAAGGGCAGAGTCCCAGAGGATCTGCCACCCCTGTGCCACCCCCAGCACATGGGGGATCCTGCTGGCCTGGCTGGAGAGCAGGCTGGCAGAATGGACATGGCTCACTGCCACCTCAGGCAGCTGGGCAGGTGTGGGGACCTGTCCAGAGCCTCACAGGGACAAGGGAAATGCAAAGGGGGTTTTTCAGCTCTACCCACCATTGCAGCTGTCACTCTGCTTGCCCTGGAGGGCAGCTGCTCAGAGGCCAGTGCTGTGTCCTGTATTACACAAAATGGAACTTGGCCTGTTGTCTGTGAGAGCAAAGGGTGCTTTCAAGCTTGCTGCAAGCTCTAAATGGATTGCACAAGGAGGGATTTTTTTTTTTAAATCTAATGTAACCACAGTGTACCTCAGTTGCTCTCCATGCCAACTGGAGAAGGGCAAGAAAAAAATCAGTCTGGTTTTGCAGAAGATAATACTTAGGGAAACAACAGAGCAAGTGTTTGTATCAAAATCAAAAAGGCCTGAACTTGGGCTGGCAAACAAGGCCCGTCTGAGCAAATGTGGCTCTGACTTGTGAGGAGTGCCAGACTGGATCAGCTCATGATGTGCAGGCCCCTGTAAATTCAGGGATTGTTAGTTATAGGGTGCACAGGTAGTAACTTGAAAAATGAAGCCTGCTTTCCATTGGCTTGAATTTGCTTCCAGAGTCTGTGATAGCACTACAGAATAGTTTGTGACCTGCTAAGTACGTACAAAAGTGCCTGGACCACACAATTGAAGGTGATGGTAATTTTCAATGCAGTCTGTTTAAATAATGAAAACTATTTAAAACAATTTTCATGCCTCTACTGCATTCTTTTATTTTCATTTTGAGAGATAAGATGTGCTCATCTTTATTTTTAACCCACAAGAGGAATGTAACTGCTTGTCTCTCAAAGGGAAAACCAGAAACAAACTTCTGTCTCTTTTCTTTTTCTAATGAGAGAATAGGAAGTTTTGGAAAGCCAGAAATTCAGCTGGCAGGGCCTTGCAATTTGTGTTCTTGGAGACTTAGACATTGTGAGCCTGCAGCAAAATCCAGACAGGAGCAAGCCTTTGTGTACTTTTGTGTTCTGTTTCTCGAGGTAAACTTTGAATTCCTGTGGAGGCCAAGTGTTATCAGGGCTCGTGAAAAGGGAGTCTTGTTTATAAATTCTGGGTTACAATGTAAAGGAAAAAGAGCCAGATAAGCACAGTTCTCACCACTTCTGATGTCTCTTGTTACAGAACAGAGTGAAACTGCTTGAAACGATAACCAAGGAACACGAGCAGTACAGCGCCAGTGTCAACCAGTTTCAGTCGTGGCTGAATGGTGTCACAGAGAAATTAAACTGCTGCATTGGAGGAGCAACCAAGACTTCAGCAGAGGACAAGCTAAAGGCACTGAAGGTCCTTGAACAATATAGCTCCAACAAGGAGCTAGTATTGTGTGTTTTTCATGGCCGTATGTGTTGCTCAAACCATACAAGGGTGTTCTTGAGAAAAGAATTACACATACAAAATAGATGGTGATTTTAGCATAGGCTAGGACAGATGAGTTGTATGAGGTCCTGAAACTGTTTGTATGTATGGTTCTTCCAGTATGAGTCACAAACTGGTCTGGTTTGTTTTTCTTAAAGCCTGAGCTCCAACGGTTATGTGATTGTTTGAGAATCTTGTTTAAATAAAACAGATTTGGTAAACATGATCCAATTAGACCCTGAAGGTTCACAGTTTTTGAGAGTTTAGAGCTGGTGATGAAAATACCAGTTTTGAGAACAATATCCTTTATTTTGGTGCTAATGCTTTTAATGTTTAGCTTAAAATCTCTGAGATCCAACTATTAATATATGTCTAGTGCCTGCAGCTCCTGTTCCTTTTGTCAGGGATCTCAAGTTATAAGCATTAATGAAAACCAATATTTTCAGAAGCAATGACAATTAGTATTACTCAGAAGGCAGTCAGATGACTAACCCTGGCTTCAGGTCACTTGAAAAGAGACATATTTGGAAATAATAAGTGAAAACCAAAATATGTACAACGAGGAGGGGTGGTCTTTTTTCCTACTGATTTCAGCTTTTTTCCCAGCTTCCCATTCCTGCAGATAATCTTTACTTCTTTTTGCAGGAAATTGCCAAAGACATTAGGAGTGGTGGAAAGAAATGGAAGCACCTTGAAAATCAGTGTGCAGAGGTAATTCAGAATACCTCTCCACTTGGATCTGCAAGACTGAAGGATGAACTTGAAGAGCTCAGAAAAGCCTTGGAGAAGTTGAAAGTGCTGAGTAGTGAGGAGGAGGAGAGATTGCTCAAGATCCAACAGTCTGAAAGTGCCTATGAGTCCCAAGCCAGACAATTGGAAGCAGACATCCAGCAGCTGAGGAAAGATCTACAGAGACTAGAAAATGACCTGGACCCTGGGGAAGGGGAAAAGACTGAAGATGAGTTTGTAACTCTGTGGAAAAAATGCAATGTAAGTTGTTATCCTTTGTGTGGAGGATCAAGTGCAACCAGAGACTGAACATGCATAGTCACATCCAACAGATGCCTGTCCCATTGGTTAGAGATGATAAGGAAGGAGTATGAATGTGTGTGAAACAACTGAGGAAAATGTAACTGCCAACAATGGAATCAACAGCCCCAGCCTTCATCTTACACTGCACAGGAGGAGCAGACTTGGAGGATGTGCTGCATGCAATTTGTGCCTAGAGTTCAAAGGGATCATATGCAAAATGAGCACAATACAGAGCAAGCAACACAATTTGCTCCACTTAAAAAGAAGCAGGAAATTAATGCCTCACTGAATGTATATATACACACAGACACAAGTGCATTCACAGATACCAGTACACATTTTTGAGATATTTGGTAAGACCATTGCTATGTCATATCCATCACCTCTGTAAGATAAGTACCTCTCTTCCTTTACTAGCAGACACATCATCATTTCTAAGAAGTCCCAAGATTGCAACAATCCAGTATTTACCCCAAAACCAATCTGCTGCAAAAATGAGTCCAAAAAAATCATCACACATTAAGTGATAAGAATTTTTACTACTCGTTTTCTCTCAAGGGCTGGTTTTGTATTTATTATCTGTTCTCAAAATGCCTTTCACTGCTGTTTGTATGTCTAGAGCTATGCAGGACTAACTGGGAAAAATATATGCAAAAAGGATCAGAAAAATTTAGACTGGTTCAATCCAGCTACATTTCCATGGGTTTTAGTTGTTTTTGTTTCCCTGAGTCACCCCAGAATTAACATTCTCTATATGTGAGTCCCTGAGAAAGATGTGTTCAGGCAAACAGATGCTTTTAAGACTGCTCCAGAAATGCAGCTCATGTTATATACTGCAATCAGTGAACTGAAACCAGGCCTGTTTGGGATTCACTCTGTTCAAACAGTGAACCCTGCAGATCAGATGCAGAGGCTGGGCAGTGTGAGGGGAGGAGAGAGATCCTGCTGGAATAAAACTGTTGCTGAGAATGTTTTCTGTCTTAGCAAAGACGGTATTCCATATAACCAGGAAAAAAACACTGGAAGGGGATTTTTGCATACCCTGAGACAGAGCCTTACTTCTTATTTCATATGGCAGATACTACATAAGGTGTGATCTATTCATTATTTTTTATAATTAAGGCAACAAGAGCAGCTCTGGCTGCAGAAGAGTCAAAGATTGAGAGGCTGAAGGCTCAGCTTAAGGAACTGCTACGGTTTTCCCAAGATGTGCAGCCACATGCTGAGAGTGTTGTCTCTGCAATACAGCAGTATCAAAGGTACTGGGAAGTCTGATTGTGGTGGGGGGAATCTTCTCTCAGGGATTGTCAGGGGGCTAAGAAAAAAGTGATATGCCATCCAATTGTAGGTGATGGCTAGAAAAAAAAAAAAAGCTTTTGATAATTACATCCGCCTCCGTGTTTCAGTCAAGCTGTAATTTTAGCCATTTGCTGGGAGCTGCAGGCTCCTGGTCATTTTCAAGCAATGCTCTTTCATCATTAATGTTGTGTATGGTTTGAAGAAAATTAGATTGCTGGCAGCTAATTTGATTTAATTAGCATTTTATAGTAATAATTTATGTATTTTGCTTGCCTTTCATGCCAGCAACTAGAAAATCAGGACAGGAGCTGTGGTAGTAAACGGTTCAGAAGAATTATGGCCCTCCCTTGTTGAGTTTGTTGCAGTGACTCACCAGCCTTAGCAATTATTTGGCAGAGCTTATTCCCCTTCTCCTGGCAGCTCATATGCATGTTCCTGTTTTCAACTTGCCTTGGGTTGGAAACTCTGAAAGTTTAGCCTCTCCCAGACTTCAGTGTTTCCGTTTCCAGGCTGCCTGGAATCAGGAAGTAAAGAAGCTGCAGCAAAATTTTGCAAACTAGAAGAAAGGATCATTTTTTTAAGGGAAAAAAAGAAGGTCAGTTCTCTTCCTGTATCCCAGCTTATTTCCCTCTGTGCACAGTATGCTGTCCTGCTGGAAGGGTTACAGGTCATTGTGGGAAAGGATTGCAGTTTAAAAACTAGCAAGTAAACAAAGCTGAAAGAGGAGCAAAGGAGGCAGGGACTTCTCTGAGTAGAAAATGGCAGCTGCTTCTTTGCCAGCTTCTCTCCAAGGCTTCTTTGGGAAATCTGGCAGCTTCCCACTGAGCCTGGCAGGGGCAGCAGAGCAAATGGCAGAGCACATGTAAAGTCAGAACTTTCTATTTGCGGAGCTTTTGGCCTCTGCAAACTTGCCTTTGTTCAGCCCTGTCACGGCCCAGTGACACAGGTAAGATTTCTGTGTTTGTGGAAAGGCAGTATTGATCCTGCTTGGCATTGCTCTCACCTGCTTCTCTTGTGAGTCTGCAAGATACTGTTCCCCTGTGAACATAAAGTTTGGGCTGCATTTTGCCATATCAGGCAGGCTGAGAAAAACAGGAGGCAGCTGCATGGGGTGTGTCACTGCTGGGCCTTGTCACTTGGCTGTGTTTGGGCTGTGCTCTTTTTAAGAGAAGCCTGGATATTCATTGAAGGTTTGCTGATTTAATTTTTTTCCCCCAATAATAGAGCTGTGTATGTATGTGGATACATATACATAAATACAAATACTTTTTTATCAGAACTGCATCTGTGTACTAATATAAACTCAAGTAGTTCTGCAAAATATAAAATAATTCTATCTGAATACATAAATTCATAAAAATGTATTTTTCACTTTTTGTGTTCACATAAGGTTATCACTTTTTAATGTAATTTTTTTAAGAAAAAAACCCTTGTTTTTTCCAGGTAACTGCAGTTACATCCTAGACACTCTTGACTTGTTCCTCCCATGAGTCAGTGAGACTGCTTGGATAGTATGATTTGTTAAATCACACTGGTGACAGCAGCTAAGAAAGTTCACATGCAAGGGAAGACTGCTGGCTACTAGAAATGCAAAATAGCTCCTGATACACAGTTGCACAGAAGACAAATGTGTTCTGAGACATCTAAATAAAGTTTTGTCAGATGTCTCTGAGTGACAGAGCAGCTGTTGGTATGCCACAGCAGGCTCAGGCAGTAAAACAGATTGAGGCTTTTGTGTTGTGTATGGTTTACACCCCAGTATTGTGTTAATTCATGCCTTGAAGAATAGAATGTTTGGGCTTGGATTTCTTCATAATCCTTCTCTTGGTTGTCACTTTATTCCTACAGTGTTAGAAGCAAGACTTCTAAAATGAGCACTGACACAGAAGCCCAGCTGTGGAGACTCATCCAAAATCCCCTGCAAAGTTTTGAGCAGTGGAAGCCATCGGTCCAGATGCTGCTGGAGACTCCAGAGCCAGAGCTGGCTCACATTGAGGTAGCAAAGCTGTTGCTAAGTTCAGAAATGTGGGTTTGACCAAGCCTGGAAGGTGCTGCCAGTGTGGCAGGAAACCCTCCAGAAGGGATGGAGCTCTTTACTTGGCTCCAGCTGTAGCACATTGCCTTATTTTGTGCCTTCCATTTGGTTGACTGGAGTGTCAGTTGAGCAGGCTGCCATTAACAATGATGATAATATTGTTTAGCATTAGCCCAGATCTCCCTGGATGGGAAGTTTGTGGACTCTGTTAAAGAATTATGTGGTGATATAGATGGGGGATTAAAATGCACGATTAGTGCATGTTCCCAGCAAGGTGTGTTTGTTACTTTGTCATCCCTGTGATCTCCAGAATAAATGTGTCTGTGAACAGGGATGGAATTTATCCTCAGGATGAGCATTCAGGCTGTCCTTTCTGTTGGTTGTTTAGGCCTCTCCTCTGCACAGACAACTCTTTCCATAGTACAGCTTACCTCTCTTTCTGTTCACAAAATGGATGCAGCCCTGGTGCCTCTAACATTATCAGGAAGATTTTTCCTTTAACTGGGCACTGTCCAGGTACCTTCTGTTACCCCTTGTTGGCCCAGCATGCTGTTTTTACCTGGCTTTGTGGTACTGCTTTGGTTGTGTGACTTGTGTGAGAATAATATGGTTATATGATTTTTTTTTGTATGATCTCACTGGAAGAACTTTTCTCCTTCAGGCTGCTCTAACTGAAAGCTCCCAGTTCAAAGAAAAGTTGATGACATTACAGCTAAAGAAAGATCTGCTAAACAATGTCCTTGGTGAGGAAAAAGCAGAGTCTTTGCTTCAAGAAGTAGCTGAAGCTTCAAAGGAGAGAGAAATTCTACACAAAAGTCTGCTGCAAAGCAAGAGCAAACTCCAGGTGAACTACAAAACCCATATACTGTCTTTGCATGTGATAAAGACAAAGATGAAATCTTGACTATGCCAGTTTTATACGTATAAATTTAGTACTAATCCCTTTTCCTAGGTTGATCAAATATTCAAATAAATTTGTGGTCTGTTGCATAGTATAGCTCAGTGTTTGTCCTGAATATGAAGCAGATATTGACAAAACACAATGCCAAGGCATATATGTTAAATGCTGGACCTGTTTTCTGATTTCTCCATCTAGAATTTGATGTTGCAACATAAGAACTTTGATGCTGGTTTTGCACCATTGCAGAAGAAATTATCTGCCATCAAAGCCAAATTAGATCTGGAGAAGGAACCACGGCCTGACCTCTTGGGTAAAAAGACACAACTCCAGAGACTCCAGGTACATTACAGTATTGTTTGGCCATGTTATCCTCAGCTAACTGAGGTTCCTATTTGTTCATATTTTCCTTGCATTGAGAATTCAGTACCTTTCCCCTCGATTGTTAGATAATTTCATTTGGTCCAGTTTATAGCATGAGTGAATGAAATTAAAGCAGTGCAGATGAAGCACTGGCAAACTGAGCTTGAGTGAAGGAAGAAGCAGCTGGAGCTGTTGGTGGTACACCTTCTTGGGCTACTTTAATTGCTAAAGAAAGTGTATCCTGACACTTCCCACTAGCAGTGAAAATACACAAGATAGTTTGGAAACTCTTCCTCAAAAGAGTTTCCAGTGTTCCTTTTCCTTCTGTATCCTCCTCTTTCTGCTCTTTACCTTGTCATTTAGCTGTGACCCATGCTGGATTTACTCCACAGCTGATTTGGCTGTCAAAGATAAGGAAAAAAAATTAATGGGAAAAGATGAGAATTTTTTGGTTAGGGTTTTGAAGTGGTTCAGCAAAGGGTCCAACATGCAGTAGAGCCTGTTGAAGGCATACAGTGGGATTACATACCTGGGAGAGGGGAGAGAGGAGCAGGAGGAGAGGGAAGAGGGGATGTGCCTGCCATGGTGAGCTGTGACAGCTCACCTGAACTGTGGCACTTCATCCTTGGTGACCACAGGGTGTTACTACCATAGTTCTTTGCTGGTTATACTGTGGCTCCTTTGCCACTTCTCAGCAACTTATCTTCCTCGTTAGCTCCCAGTAACATGTAAATGGCATCCAGCTATTTTTTTCAGAAACATTTACTCCTAGGCATCAAAGCAATTCATTTTCTCTAATGACAGTGGTTGTTGCTATGGCTTTTTTCTCCTCACACTGTCAATGAAGCTACCTTTGGTGTATGTTTTTGAAAGTCCATGCCATACCTAGCACACTGCACACATGGAATCTGTCTTTTCCTCTGCAGATGATCCAAGATGACTTGGCAGAGCTTGCAATTCACATGGAGGAGGTAGAGAAGCTTGTTCAGTCAAATACCACACACAGGCATGAAATGAACCAACTCTCATCTGATTCTCAGGCCCTGAAGAGATCACTGGAGGTAACATAAGGAAGTTTTTAGTTGCCCGGGGAGTTATCAGTTGCCTCTATTTAAAAATATTTTAAAACATCTTTGAGCATATGACATTACATGCTTTGAGTGACAGATGCTTTTATTTCAGGGAAAGAAAGCACTGAATTCTTAAGACTTTGATAACTCTTCCAGGATTCTCTGATTAATGTGATTTCCCTTGGGAATAGGATGCCATCCACATGGATTTTGTCTGTATAAACTGTTTCTGGAGTGGGCCTGAGATTCCTGACCAAGAGAACTCACATTATCATTCACAGATTACAGGAAAGGGGGTTTGTACCAAAGTGTTTGGGGGTTTTATGGCTTTGTGATCTAAAAGTTAATGAGAGAAAAGTGCAGCAATTGTATAAATACCTGCTTTGTCCTGAGGCATTTTGTAGCTTGCAAACATACCTATAAAGTGACCTCCAGAGCAATCTTAGGAGATTCTCAGAATAAGAGCTCATGAAGTTACCTTAGCTATGCAGTTCACTATAAAATTGTGTGTGTAAAAGTGTTACCTGAACATGCACTGTGTAATTCTAGTTTCAATTTCAGTCATCCCGTTTATCACTGAACTGAACTTTTGCCAAACAAGTCTGTGCAATAATTTCTGATTCAGGGAGTGTAAGATATTGACTGGATATTTGATATTGACTGGAGTACAAAAACCCCAGACATGTAAAGTCTATATTCCCTTTCAGCTGAGAAGGAAGGGAGCTATTCTAGTTCTTGATACCCCCCCGTGTGGTTGAATTCACGCCTGCAGGAGCTTGGGGATGTTTTCCACACCACTGGTGCTAAAAGGATAGGATTTTTGTCTCTCATTAATAGCTGCTTTTTTCCTTTTTCCCCATGAGGTTCTGTGCTCATCATAGTGTTAGAGCCAGTAAAGAAAGTGCTTTTGTTTTGTCTTTGGTTCTGACATATTTTTATCATTTGTAGCTGATGATACAGCAGAGTGAAGACCACGTTCAGAAGCACTGGGCATATAATGACAAACTGTCTGACCTCCAGCAGTGGATCTCAGTAACCAGGGAGAGGATTGGCTCCTGCCAGGATGCTGATGGGGAGCAGAACACTGAAGGCAGGCTGGAAGACCTGGAGGTGAGAAAAACATCTTAGATTAAGATGTTAATTATTCACTTTGCAGCATTCAGGCATTAAGAGTGGGGGTTTCTAGTGAGGATTTGTTGGTTCAGGAGAGGAATGATGTGTGTTTCTCCTGCAATAACTGTTGGCTGCTGTTGCCTCTCTGCTTTGCCCTGTGCTGTGGGATGTGGGGCCATGTAACAGACAAGAGCAGTGAAAATGAGTAAGCAGTGTTGAGATGGATAAATTATTATCCAAGGGTAGGTGGTCTGTTCCTGTCAGAGTGATCTCTCTGAACAATACCTGCCTTTGCCTGTGTGTACTCATCAATATACTGAACATTCCTGCCATTTTAGCTGGCCTTCTACTTGTTGAACTGAGCTGTTCCAAAGCTGCCAGCTTTTCCTGTGTAGCAGTACTTTGCATGTTAAATTCACTCCAGCAGGATACTTCAGCTGGCAGCTGTTGCCTTCATGTGGGAGACCAAAATCTTTCATGGGAAGGCTACAGAAAGAAGTGCATTGACATCTTGCACCCTCAAAGTCCTCCCATCAGCCCTTTGACCTATGTGGGGATCTTTGGAAGCATGCACAGCATATTTTTTCCCTCTAGATATGTTCTAGCTAGTGCCAACAAAACCAGCATAGTCCTGGACTGAACATGGCCTTCAGTCTGACATAGCCTCCACTTTACCCAGGATACCTAGGAGTAATTTCAGGGCTTTGCATTTCAGAGATTGCTGGCTGAGTTTCCAGATAAGGAGATCCAGCTGAACCTTGTAGAAGCTCATGGCCAGCTGGTCATGGAGAATTCTTCTCCAGAGGAGACTGCCCATGTCCAGGCAGAGCTGGATCAGCTGAGGGAGTCGTGGAAATCACTGAAGGAGATGGCAACTGGGTAAGTGTTTGTGTAGGTGTTCCTTATGTCCCTTCCACAGGCCTCTTTTTACTGCAGTAAGAACAGACACACTTGAGACTTTATGCTCTGTGCTGTGAAACTGAACAGCCATGAGATTTTATTTAATTGTCTGTAAACTGAAAATCATTACTTTTAAGAAAACTATTTTAAGACTCTGTGAACCACAATGTCTGTAAATCTTCCTTTACCTTGTGTTGGAGTAGGCAGTGTCTTGTGGCCTGGCTCACTCTTGTTCTGGCAGTCTGTGGCAGAGGAAATTTGGCACAGACTGGGTGTCTTGAGCTGTTCTGTCTCATCTTCCTGTTCTCCTTGGAGATGCCTCCAAGGAGGGTGTACCTGCAATGGGATTTGTGCCTTTTGCAAACCTGCAGAACTATAAGCAGAGCTAAAAATCTTCTCTTTAGCTAGGAAATTAAGACTTAATTTATTTTGCTTCCACTGTGTAGCGCTGAAATGCTGCTCATATTTGCTAGTCTGTATTAATATGTGATGGTGTGCTGCATGTATGGTTGTATTCATACATACTGTCAGAATATGTCAGGCACAAAAAAATAAATTACAAAATTGAGGAAGGCTTGATTGTACTGCCTCCTGTAACCAGAAAGAAATGTATATTGCCAAGGTATTATTTTTAGTCCTCTAACTAAAAGTAAACAGAACACTTAGAAATGTCAGAACTAGAGTCCTGGTGCAGCTGTGAGACATTCTGGTTGGGAATAACTTCAATAGTAATAGTGTTATTAGTATTAATAATGAGATAATAACAACAACAACAGTGCTGTTTCCCCAGAGCTGTCTCCCATAGCCCCAGTCAAAATGTGGATGTTCACTGCACTGATATCTCTGGTTTTGTGTTTCCAAGCCTCCTCAAAAAATGGCAGTTAAGTAGACCAGTGGCTGACAAGAAGAAGAAAAGAGCATTTGTGGGCAGCAGATGGATGTCTAGACCTGCTTTCCACCTTTTTGATGTCGATCCCAACCATAAGCAGGTGAGATGGAGACTCTGTGTTTTCCCTCATGTCAGCTCCACAAGAACAGTTTCATTGCCTTCATCTGATATGTGGGTTACATAGCTGGAGGTTAAGATTTCACAGTCAGGCCTTCAGAGGAAACATCTGACATAACAGTGAGGGCTTTTTTGTTCCTGTTGTTCTGTGTCCCAGGAGAAGATGGGAGAAGGGCAAACTGCAAGCAGCCACTTGAAACTCCTACATGACTTTGAAGAGTGGCTCCAAGGAGAAAACACCAAACTGACCAAAATTCTTGCTGGGACTCCATCTTCTGCAGAGGAAATTAAGGCACACCAGAGCAAACTTGAGGTTAGTTTTCAGGGGGTGAATGGAGAAAAATACATCAATAAGCGTGAATTCTTTCAGAATTAAAAAAATCCAAACAACAACAACAAAACCCAGAACCACTCTTCCTACAAACCAAAAACCCACCACCTCCCAAAAAACCACAAAAAATCCTCAAGAATAAAAAATTCAAACACTATACACTCTGCTGTATGAGACACTAGAGTAGATGAAGCTCAGGAATTTAGGACAATTTTCATCCTTTCTACTAGGAAAGGTCTGGCAGAAGCAGAGTAGAAGTGAAAGGAACACCTGGCATTTAGCTGTTGGGCTGGACATTTCCAGTGTGCTATGCCAAAGGTGTTCATTAAAAGAAGCTGATTAAAATCACTGTTAAATCAGTATTTGGTCTCATTCTTCCTGTATAGAGTACAGTTTGGAGTATAGCCAAATGCCATGGCAATTTGTTAGATTTTTTGGATTGTTAGAAACTAAACACAGGAATATCCAAGACTAGAGGAGTCCTGCAGGTGAGTTTCATATTATTTCAGGCCAAAAAAGCAACAACAAAAATAAACGTGTGTGTAAACCACTGTTTTATCAAATGCTGATTTAAAAAGTGGGGAATTCATGAATCCTGAATTGCCGCTGAGCCTTGTCTTTGCCTTTAGGAGCTGCAGTCTCGTGTGCCTCATGGTCAGCAACTCTTTGAGGACCTCCTTCATCTTCATCCTGTGGTGGGAAGTTCTGAGGACCTGGAGGAGCTGCGCTACCGATGGATGCTCTACAAATCCAAGCTGAGAGAGGCCCTGAGCTCACCAGTAAGTGACAGCTGCTGAGCTCTGCCATTGCTCTCTCAGGCTGCTTCACATTGCTAGTCTTACTTCAGCGGTATTCATGTGTAATCTGCTTAATTAAGAGTTGTGTGCTTTTCCCCTTTGTACACTGTGCTCAAGATATTTCTTGAGATGGAAGTTTCAAACCAGAATAGTAAATGGCAAAGAGGCATGCAGCTGTGTGTGTGAATACTTTGGGTGTGTGCCTGGTTCTGGGCACATGGATTTCTATTTTCTGCCCTTTCTCCACCCAACATTCTCCATAGAGTTATTTTTTGACAGTTCGTGCAGTAAAAATATATTCACTGTTCATTATTTTTGTCTCCTGCTGTGAGACAGAATAGTCACTGACTGAACGGATTCAAAGTAACTGCACAGAAGGACCTAGTCCCTTTTAAAACTGTCCTTATAGGTTAATGATTTGGAATGAAATAAAGATGAGAAATTTTAATTCAAAAACCAAATTATTGAAGAAGTTACCTAGTTGTTATATATAATACACGCTAAGGGTGGCAAAATTCATCATCATTTATAAGATATTCCAGGGCATGCTAAAGATACTCCCATGTTCTTAGCATTAACATATAAAATTATTAACTAATATTTTTCTAGTTTTACTACTCAAACATTATCTGAGCAGCTTCAAGTTCCCATAATCAAAGGAATTTACAGGTTTGCATTCGGTACTTTCTGTACATGAGGGCTTTTAAAATTGAACACCTAAAATTTGAGGCATTTTAAAATTTTCTGCCTTGAGAAACCTTTTCTTGAAATCCAGAGCTTTTTTAGAACATGAATCCTTTAAAATGCATGGAAAGTAAGCATGACTTCTATTAACAAAGAGCATATTTCTGTGTTTGCCATTGATTGTAATGACTCATGATTTGTTAACCAAAACCTTCTGTAAGCATTAACATAGTCAATAGGTGTCAGTAAAGTCAAAGCTATTGCTGGGAGAACTGCTTATCTGATTCAAGTAGTCAAGAACCTAAAAACATGTCATCTTTCTGCCTAATGTTGGTAAAAAGCCCATTAAAAAAAATCTCCTGCTGGTTCACTCTGTCCAGATGACCATGAGTATGAAAGAAACATCCCCTGTGTGGTGAATACTCATTTACAGGCTCTTCTGGGATCTTAACTTCATGCTTCTTTTTTTTCTTTTCTTTTTCTTTTCTTTCTTTTAAACAGAGTGCTGGATCTTTGGAGGAAACAGACAGATTCAGAAAGGCAAGACAGTTTCTTATTATTAAGCTAAAAAAATATTTGACTGGACATTTTGCAGAAAATGGTTTTAAACTTTTCTGAAGATTCCTGAAATCAATTAGCTTATTAAGAGCCACTCTTAAAGAATTTGTTGATTCTTTCCAGATTTTTAAATGGAAAATTATTCCAGAGTTTTTACTCTTGAAGTAGGCTTACTATATCTCTAGAAGCTAAATATCCATTTAGAGAGGATATTTAGGAGAGGAGGGAAACTCAGTTTTTATACATCTACACGCTACATGAATTTAATTCATTTTTCAAAAGAGACTAAGGAAGAGCCAAAATATCTATCTAAAGGATTTAGTGGTTAAGTACCTAGAATAATTTTGAAAATGGGAATTGTAATTCTTTAGACATTCTGAAAAAAAATGCTTTGGATCAATCAGCCCACCTTCTTTCTAATGCAGAAAGCCAGAGAAAGTCAAGAGATTTGTCTAATGCTATTAGACTAAATCCTTATTCTAAGCAGCAGAATTCCTCCTGTGATGGATTTTCTTTTTGAAGTGATGACATTAGAAACAGAGGCAGTACAGGAGATGATAAGGAGAAGCTAAAAGAAAACAAAATACTGCCAGTTTCTTATTAAACCAAGCAGCACTTTTGATCCCATTTTCATAAAGTCAGCAAGTTTTTCTGTCACAATTTGCTTTGTTTATAAAAGCTGTTCTGCTTTGTACTGTCATCTCACTTTCCATTTGTGTTTAGAAGGAATAGAATAAGGCTTTTTTTTGCCCACACAAAGGACATTGAATGAGTAATGGATCATAATCACATAGTCATTCCAAGGTAAATCAAACCCTTGATTTCTCCTGGTGCAACACCTCTGTAGAAGAGACCAATATTTAAAGGGTGCAGTACAGTGCACTTCAAGCATGGCCAGAAATCAAGACTTTGCTCATTCTGATGAGATATTCTTCTTATTCTCAAATGTGGAGTAGCAGCTCCAATATTTTTACCCAGCAAAGTACTGACCAGTTTTAAGGCAGTTCTCACACCTTCCTCAATGGTTTTGGCTGCAGTTCAGCCTTGCTGAAGACCCCCAAAGACTTTCTCTTCTTGCCTGTCTGGCTCAGCATTAATTGTTTCAGCCAGTAAGGTCACCAGAATTTTTCAGGCTGGAAAAACAGTATGACATTTTAATACTTGGTGTAGAGGCAGCCAAAACATTTAGTAGTGCTTCTTTTCTCTAGAAGAGGCTCACAGGGATATTCCAGAAGACTGACCAGGGAATTCTCTGATTTCATGTTGTTTGATTGGTAAAGTTGTTTGTAGGGAAAGCAAAACAAAAGCTTTAGGCATAAGCATGTCTCCAGTACAATTAGATGCCATTTTTAATTTATCTGCCTCATGTGCCTTGGGGTACATGGTATTTATTCACCCTTACATTCGCCAAATTAGACTAAAGTCTTCAGTTAATTTTCAGAGATACTGGCTTAACATAATGGCAGGCAGCAAACATTTGTCAATTAGGCCTACAGCAAGAGCACAAAAAAAACCCATTCTCTGAGTTTTTAATAGCTACTGAACACAAAGAGAAACAGCTCAGGGTGGAAAGGACTGAAGAACTGAAATACCTCATAAGCATGAGGGAAATGGCTCCCATTGCTCTAACAAGTGATTTGCAGTTTCCCTTCAGCCAGTACAGATGTTGCTGTAACTTATACCCTGCTCACTTCAGTGAGATTTCACTGACCTCAGGGCTTTTATTCTCTGTTTAAACAGTAACACTATAAGAATCCAAGTGCTGGAAGAAGTAATGTCTTTTTTTTTTCATTCAAGTTTTATCAGGATGTGAGACAGTGTTGCCATAAGAATTTTTAGCACCACTTAAGAGAGCCAGAAAATAATGCTCATCCCTTTTGGGTGTATCACTGTTTGGCCTAAGAAAAGAGGAAAACCAGGCCAACTGCAGAATTCTAGGCTATACAGTTTACTTTAAATTTAAATCTAACACCTAAAATGTGGCTGGAAACGAAAGAAAGATTAAGGAAAATATTTTTGTATGCATGAATATCTTTTGAATGCTATGGTAAAGGAAGCCAACTGCCTCGAAGGGAATGGCTGATCTCAGGAGTTGGTATCTGCAGGAAGTGCAGATGGCTGCATCACTGTGCTTGCAACAACCAGTGAGTTTGCATAAAATAGGCTCAGGTCATCTCTAATTTGTCAGCTCCCTCATGTTCTTGAGTCACACAAAATCAGCAGAAGTGGCAGAAGTTGTGGTATTTTTGGAGTGCTCTCTGCTTTTTGCAGCACAAGGTCCCCAGTGACTCTGCTTGTCTCTCCTGTTGGAGCTGTGGATATTTTGCAGCAGCAGAGATCAACATGGAGAAGGGAAGACCCAGCTAGAACCATTCTCATTTGACTGCCTTCTGATTTTATTCTATTTCTAGCCTACATGGCCAGATGTTGGGCAGAATAGAGCCTGCTCCATGTATAGTAATGTGCTTTTTCTCCTGATCATTCATCCATTGCTGAGGACATGCCCCTGCCACTGGTGCCCTTAGGAGCAGAACAGCCTAATGATTGTGATGTGAGTGACTTCTTGTTGATTAACAAAAAGCAGTTGCAGGAAATTGCACTGGCTGCAGTGAATTTTTAGCAGGTGCCAGTGACAGCCAACGTAGATGGATATTTCTGCAGGGTACCTAGCACACTCAAGAACATAATCAAGCAAGTGCTCAATAATAACTATGATAAATGTTACTTTCAAAGGTTGGCTCCCAGCTACCTGAAAATATTCCATGAGCATTCTTAGCATAAATGGGAAGTAGAAGGTTCATTATTTACAGGTCTAGGTAGCACTGTTTGATTTATTTTCTCAAGTTCTCAGAGTAATTACTTCCTTGCTAAACAAACGATCTGGCTTTATTGTTTGTACAAACAAAATAATTAGAATTCATTACATCAGTGGTCAGCTAATTGCTTCCTTTGAGATTCTGCTAAGAGTAATCTCCTGTAACATACAGGCAGAAGGAACATGTAATTTAATCTTATTTAGAGACACCATTGATCTGGAGTCAATCAAATGAATGCAGTCATTCAGGAAACTGCAAAGCAAGAACTGCCACAGCTTGCCAGGAAGAAAACAGTGCTGTGCTCTGCTCTGCCCAAGTGCAGATATGATGGGAGCTCCTCGTGGCAGAAAAGCACAGAATTCTGTGGTAGTGCCTGTGGTACAGGTGCCTCTCTACTGAAAGGGTTTTCCTCAGGTCCTGCTGGTGTTATCCACTTGAAATCTTCTGTACAATTACAGTCTTAGTAAAATGAAAAACACTTCTTAGAAAGTATCTTTTAATATCTCTCTTTTTTTTTCCATCACTCTGCCTATAAGGCTGTGCTTACCTGTTTTAGGAATTATACCATGACCCAAACACAGGATGAAGGGCACCTTAGCATTAAAAATTAGCAGATAGACTTGTTTTCTCACTACAGTGATATTTGCTCAGAAAGAAAACTTAGTCAAAAAAAAAAAAACCCACCTCCAGAAAAATTCTACTTGCCCATTGCTAACTCATACCCATTGTAAAGTATGCTAAGCCAGGAGCAGCATCCCCTTCCTTTTCCAGCAGGCTCACAAGCTTCCCTTCACATTACTGCACCTGGGAGACTCCCTGTGCGTGTGCTCATATTTCTGGAGGTTTCATGCCATTTTCCAATTTACATTGCAGTGTCCCCAAATGTTAGATATCTGGGGCTCTTTGTTTGTTGTTTATCTGGTCCTGCCACACCTGTGCCTTGCCAGTGCTCTGCCTGCAGCAGTGCTGGTGCAAGAGATGCCATCCTGCTCCCCAGGACACCTGGTTCTTTCTTTCCTTTCATGCTCATGTGGTGTTAGTTAGGCAGGTGGTTGGTGCTCCCTGCTTTATGTGAAGAGATCTGTCCTTTAGCTGCAGATTTTCACCAAGGAGATAGCTTAGAATGATTTTCTCAGCAGATATAATTTCATGTCCTAACTGAAAGGTAAGGACAGAGAGAGAGATTTGTTGAGCAATAGCAGAATGCAACCAATTTTCAGTATACACCTGAAAAAACAGGTTTTTAACACAGCTGTAAAAGGCACTGTTAGAAAAACACTTCTAATCATTACCTCTAATCTTTATACCTATTATTTATTTAAAAGCAAGCCGTCGCATTTTTGAAGTATTTAAATGAAATGCAAATATAATTAAATTATGCATAGTGACTGCTGAAGTTTAAGAAAAGTTTGATCTTGACTTGAGAGAAGTCACTGGCAAAACAGCTGGAAACACATTATTGACATAATAAACCAGCTTTTTGATGTCAATAATTTCTTCTGCAAGTTCCAGAACATTTTGTCTTTCTTTCAGTTTTTATTCTTTCTATGCTTATTTTAATTAGTTTATTTCAACTTGCAAGGATGAGTGGAAACTGGAAATTGGGAAAAATTGTTTTACTTGCCTGCCTTCTTCAATATAGAAGACTAAGGTCTTTTTCTGCTTGCTTAGGTCTGGAGAATGATAGAAATCAGTGCTACTTTAACAGATCAGGCTGTAGCTCTTGTCCTGTGATATGCTGGAAACATGTCATGCTGTATGTGCGCACAGAAGCTAACCTTTATAAATCCATTTGTGTCACAGTAGCATATGGCACAGTGCTTGGTTCTAAGTGACTTTGCAGAAGAAATTCTGAAATACCCACCATATGTGGCTGCTGAAACCTCAGATACAAACTGCTGGCTTGCTTTCTGCTTCTTTTAAATGAAGCCTCCCTGGAAGATTCTAGATTGTCCCCCAACCATGGGGAATCTTCCCTAAGGAAGAAAACAGTCTTTAATTTGCCTGTACACTTACCTATTTACATGCATATGCTTATGCATTTCAGAATTGAAAGGAAAATTAAGGTTGCAAAGTCAAGCAGTCTGAAGATGGAAAATGTCAGAGCTAAAATTGTTTCTATGGCTGCAGTTAACCTCTCTTCAGCATTCTGGTTCATTCTGGTAG